TTGTCCAACTGACTGCTGTCTCTGTCTCACTCTCTCTCTCTTTATAGTGGTCTTTTGTTTTACTTGTGGAGGAACATGGATTTGGGGGTATTTTAGAGAGTGATTTGGGGATTTTTTTTATCAGGGATTTTTCAGTTTTCCAATAGGGAACATCAGAATTCCTGCTAGGGAGGCCAGTGGCAGGACCCTGTCTGCTCAGAGCTCGCACCTTGGACCCATCTGGCTGTGGCTGACCTCCTAGCCAAATGGGGCGAGGAGGACATGCTTTGGCAGTTCAAAGCAGGCCACCACACCCAGAACATCTTTCGGGTGATAGCTGCCCAGATGGCTGGGCAGGGGGCACAAATTGCAGTAGTGCCACACAAAGGCCAATCCTGCAACTGCAGTCCACTGGCAGCTGGCCCAGGGGGGCAGATGCCTCTACTGGCTGTGCAGTCCCCATCTGATTCTTGCAGGTGCATAGCAGGTCACAGCCAAGCAGCAGCCCCCACTGCCAGACTGCTGCAGTGGGTAGAGGGTACAGGGAACTCTCAGGGCTGTTTCAGCAGTCCAGGTGGCACAAGGGGTAGTGTTCACAGGTACCAATTGGCTGGGCCCCAGAAGCTCCTGAGAGCTGGTAGCCCTAAGCTACTTGCCAGGGCGGCTTTTTATACTGCTGGAGCCAGGACAGGGCAACTTTTTATACTGCTGGGGACAGCACAGGTGCTGGCCCTGGGCTCTAGCTCCCCCTGGATGAAGATCCGGGAGGAGCCAGGCAGGGTTATTTTGCCCCAAATGACACAATTTGCTCCACAACAAAGTGCATGTCTGAGCATGTGTGGTAAGGCAGAAAGCCCCGGATCAAATTTGCACCTCTTCTATTTGAGCTGCTGCAAGCGCATATGCTTGCATGTGTGGACGCGCCCTATATGTTCTAGGATTGTACAGAGATACAAAGACAAATCTCTGCTTTAAATTGTTTGCAGTGTGAAAAATATAGAGATGAGGGGTAAGGGAACAGGATACAACATCAGTTCAGATGCACCATATGTACAACAAAAAGTAAATCAGAGTTTTCTTTTCATTCTCTTATTTTACAGTTCCTCTGGCTGGCCCTCCTTGAACAGCAATATCCTTTGTCAAGATAAGTCACCTCTGTCACTCAACCTTCATGTTTCTGAAAACAGTCAAGGAAACAAAGACCTGGAGGCTTAGATGACCAGTCTACAGCAGGGAATAGAGCATCATGCTCATATATATTCTTATTTGGTAGTTCACAGAATCTCTGCTAAGCACAGAGAAAACATATTTTCATAGTACCATGACAAATTATGATCATGTAAGCTGCTAATGCTGGCTGAATGGTCAAAAAAAAAGGAAAAACTAACAATAATATCAATACAATTTCACAAATGTAAATTGCAAGGATCACTGATAGTTTGAGAATCATCATGTATAAGTTTGAGGGTTAAACTATATATTCTGACAACAGGTATGAAGCCTGAAAGTGTTACTCAGGCTTCAGGGTCAGAAGGGACCTAAACACATCATCAGGTCTGACCCCCTCACTTAGCACAAAACCATTACCATCCTACTGGAAGTTATTTTAATATTAATAAAGGAGCTCCAATAAGGGAACAGAAACAATACCATACATCTTAAGCAACCAGTTATTTAACACAAATATTGGTTATCAAATAATCTCCTTTGGAAACATCCCAGGCAAAGAACTGTCTACAAACACTCATTGAATATATTTGCATAAAATCAAGGAGGAGAAAAAAATCTAAAAACATCTGAAAATTTTGTGACATAGTAACTAGTCAAAGGACTACATTAGAAAATCTTTTCAATGATCAATCTCAATTATATTTTAAAGTAATTGTTGAAGTAGTTAAAGTTGCCAATGTAGTATACATTATGGTTGTCACAACCCAAAGGGTGTGATTTTTGTTTGTGTGTGCTTCGGCATTGCTAAATTGTCCCCGCTAAATTACAGCTTCTTTGCACGGTGGAGTTTTCTGCTGCAAAAGAGAACCCCGGTGCAAGGGAGAATTTCCCGCCAATTTGAAGCTTTCTTTGCAGGGTGCATTTCTTTGTTGCAGCACAGAAATGCTCGTTGCAAAGAGTTCCCGCCATTTGTATGCTAATTCGAGTCCCATTATTGGCCAGTTCTAAATTATTCACACGTGGCAGCTAGTGATTGGCTTGCTAGCCGTATAAAAGGCTTGAGTGGTTTCCGCCCAAGTTGGAGGACTCCACGAACACCGGAGGAGACTTCACGCTGTGTGAAGATCTCGGATCCTTCCGGCCCCAGCACATTTCAAGCAGGCACCAGAGGTTTGATCAACCTCTAGCCTCTCCCTGTCGCCGATAGATTCCCAGACGTATCCCTTCCCGCGCGCAAGAGAACCGGACCCACGGAGCCTAGCAAACTTTGTGTGGATGAGTGAACAGGAGAACCCACGGAGCCTAGCAAACTTCGTGTGAGCCCTTACGACTGGCCTCAGAGCTCTTCTACCCGGGTTCGAGTCCTGCAGGTTTATCTTCCGGTCGCCGAAACCCTTTGCGACGTACCCTCGTATTTTGTATCTTCCAGTCGCCGGAAACCCTTTGCGATGTACCCTCGTGCCCTGCAGGTTCGAGTTTTGTTTTGTTGTCTGTCTGTAACCACAACTCAAGCAAGTTTTCCAGCCTGCACCACTGCCATCTCGGTGTAAGTAAACAATCTTTTAAACTACTGCTACGCGTTTGTGCCTAATTCCAGCTCGACGGCCTTCCCTCTCCGACCTGACGTGCCCAGGCTGCTGGCCACAGCCCGCGTGCAGCGCGAAAAAGGGCTCGGGTCGCTCCCGGCCCGCACAATGGTCTCCTTAAATTTCATGGTATTGACATAATAAGTGGCAAAGATATGATGGCAGTTAAGGTGTCTTGCTACAGATCCAAAAACATGAGTTTTAGCTGTGCTCTGTACTTCTGTTGAATATTTCACCCAATTGACCTGGCTGTAAAATGGGCTCTCAGAAATGAAAAGCTGGACCTGATGGTAACCGCATCACTCTTATGTGGACCATTGACTGTAGAACCTGGTATTCCTCAACTTAGATGGGAAGGTTGATTTGAGCAAATTTTTTACATCGTAGTGATATGTCCTTTTGCTATAAGAACACAAGGGTTTCCCAAAATGCATGCTGAGGACAAGAATGCCCACCAGGGATTAAAAATAAAGACAGTTCAGCAGTTCTGTCCAACAAGGGCCACTGGAACACATATATACAAAACAGTATATTATACCATAGTCAAAAATGTAGTTTGAACTAGCAAAGAATTACAAACTATGACAATCATGAGGGCCCAATTTAAACTGAGACCCTGTCCAGCTTTTAATTCCCTTAAATGTTCATGCCTGAAAACCTTATCAAAACCTGGTTTGAGCTCCCCTAAGTAGATATATATTAGGGCTGTGTGAAGCTTTGGTGGCCAAATCTCCAAATCCAAATCAAATTAGAGGGCCCTTTAATCTCTCTGAATAGAATCGGAACCCTCTGAGAGATTCAGAAAGATTCAGAAATTAGGACATAGACACAGCTTTAAATGTTTTTTTTACATACCTCTAGGTAGCAAGGGCTTGTGAGTGCTGCGATGCTGGGGTTCATGGAGTGTCCCACAGAAGCATGGGAGGCTCCTCAGTGCACTCAGCAGCAGACCCGGAAGTGGACCAAAAGCACTTCCGGTTCACTTCTGGGTCCTCTGGGGAGCATTAGGGGGGCCGCCCCCACGCCCCCCTGGCTTGGTGACTGGTGCCTCCTGAGTGTGTGGGGGGGGGGGGGGCCCCCTGGCTCCCCCCCCCCCCCATGGCTCCCCCCCATGGCTGATCACTGAGCTGAGGAGTACTTCTGGTCCACTTCCAGGTTTGCTACCGAGGACATTGAGGGCCCCCCCCCGCAGTCCTATGGGATGCTCCATGCGCCCCAGCATTGTAGCAATCACAAGCCACGCTAGTACCTTGAGGTATGTAGAAAAATCTTTTAAAACTGCGTCTATCTCTGAAGCAGCATTGAATCTTCAGATTTGAATTCAGCCGAATTGATTCAGGGACAGTGATCTAAATCAATTAATTGAATAACTGTCCCTGTTTTGGGCTGAATCCAAAATGAATAGGGCCCGCTTCTCACACCTGTAATATATAGGATGTGCAGTGGTACTTTAGAGTGAAATTACTATTTCCAAAGCCATTGTCACTGTTGGTATGATCCTGCAGTGTTAAGGCTATTAAACAGGTTCTGAGTGCCTTGAACTCTCACTAACTTAGATCTTCCCAACTTGTAGGATCAAAGAACCCTAACTAGTACTTTAGTATGCCCATTATAATTCACTGAGACACATGGGGGCAGTACTGCCTGGAGTGTTCTATTGCCAATGCTACCACTAAGTCTCCCGGGTAAGTCACTTAACCTCTCTATGCCTCATTTCTCCTTTATTTAAAGGAGGATAATAATAGTTTCCAATCTTTCTGAAGTGCTTTAAGATCTTTGGATGAAAGATTTTGTATAAGTGCAATGCATTTGTTAATTATTGCTATTAATTTAGAAGTTTCATGCTATTTAACACAAGTGGAATCGCACTGTGTCTGCGTTTCTTTATGTTTCTGTTACACAGTTGTAGCTAGGATAACAAATAGGTATGGGATCACCTGGTTACCAGACCCATAGCCTACAGAGGAACTCAAGAGGAAGCCTGAACTTTGAAACTCATTTTCCTGCCACCTGGGTCCAAAAAGTTCTGACACTTGAATCTTAAGGGCATATTGCAAATCTCATCTTCTTTCCCAGGCTTTTTGGAGAGTGTGAAATCTGTATGTCTTTGGACAAGACACTGTCTGTATGGTAGATGTGTAAATAAATAAATAATTTATCTTTGTTAGCCTGCCACATTATTTGCCATATGTCACCAAAATGCATCTGAAGGGGAACTTTTATGCTTATCTGGATTTCTCTTCTGTTTACATCTGTTGTTAACAGGTTCCATAGGGGCTTCAAGAATGGACCTTAAGCCTGGAGGTAGTAGAATCATCAGCAGAAGGTAATGAGAATGGCTGCACCCTTGGTGTCACTTGTGTGTGCTATGTGCAACAGATGCTCTTGTAACAGCTGGAAGGAAACAATTAGCACATCAAGAGACATGTTATAGTGTCACACTGCAAAGTCTTGAGCAACTGAGACCACAGGCTTCAAATATCCAGACAACTAAATATATTTAAAGAGACATTGTCAACTTGAAATCTAGTCAATTAAAAAAAATTGAGTTAAAACTAATTCTAGATACTACACCTGCCTCTGAGTCTCCCAACAATGTTGTGCTTCATGCTAGGTACCAGCTTAGTTATTTTTGGTCATAAGAGGCTATATAAATTATAAGACAACAAAGGTCAGAACATAGGACACCAAATAGATGCAATTTACTCTTTGCTCTTTTTAGCTCATGATAGTCTGTGTGGTTATCAGAGTTATAGAAAACATAAAATCAAGCAGCACAAGGTAAAGAATCAGATGTACGGCATTTAGTAAATAAGCAATTGACTTTTCATTCACTTCAGTGGCATTTGGATTAGGTCTTTTATACTGTAGTTATTTTTAATGCTGTACTATCATGGGCCAGAAAGAAATGGAGGATTTTTTCTTTTTAATTTCCATTATTATGCATTGCATGTGGTATTTTCAAAGCAGGGCATTCTTTGCAGCCAGGTGAGTAGGCAAATCATACCTTCATTGAACAAATGCTATGCTTGATCGTATTGTCTCCCCTTTGTCTCAGCAACAAAGTCCCCCCCCCAGGAATTCTGTGAGCCAATTGTGCATATTTAATTATTGACAAGGAGTTTAATTGGATCAGAGCAACAAGAAAAAGTAGAGTAATAAATAAATAAATAGATAGACCTAGCACAGAAGCTCTTTACAGAGTACTCCCAGCCATTTTATTCTTGGATTCAATCTCTAGCTACCTTTAGGTGCAACTTCTTCCAACAATCTGGTTAAACTCTGCTACTCTGACTTTAAAACAATACAACAAAAGAAACACATATCTTAAAGCTCCGTACGCCATGAGGTCTTATATGGAAGTTGGGAAAAATATCACCAGATTTAGAATTATGTGAGTGATGCAGTCTGGGTGTCAATTACAGATAAAACTAAATAATGTAGGTGGCTCCATTCTGACTCCAAAACTCCATCCTGGAATCCAAAATGCACAGGAAGAATAAAAGGTCTAGCTTTTTGCGGTGATGTCAAAATATTGATGGTGTGGGCCAGAGTGCACTTTCCAGGAAGATCAAATGACCTGGCAAGAGAACGGCATCAGAGGACACCACATTGAAAGGTTTTCCACTCTAATTAAGGGTTAGTGTTGGATGGAGTGAATTCCCCAATCTCCCCTCACCCATACCCAAACTGTACAGGATAATCAATTTGTACAGGATAACCTTTGCTTCATGTTCACAGTCTTAAAGACAAATAAAGGATTGGTGGGGAATGCTATCTTAAATGAACCACTACATTCATCCACACTCTATCTACACTTAAAAAAAACAACCAAACAAAAAACCCATACTTTTGCCCTAAAATTAACAGTGATCCAAAAGAAAGATCACATATATTATTAATGAAACATAAAGTACTTTACTGACCATGACTTAAAGGTTATTGTATAAAAATCCATAAACTCACTCTACAACTGTAATAGAAAAAATGAATGGAATGGAATACAATACAAATCAAACCCATATTTCTGCTTTACAACAATTGTAGATAAATATTGTCTAAATTGCATTACTTGGTTTTAGTTTAATGCCCAAATCACTGTTTTTGCCTGAGAAGAGTTCAGGTTTTCAGCGCATCTGTTAAGGGAAAGGAGAGAGGTGAGATTTATGCCTTTTGGAGAAGAGAAGACTTTTAGGTGACCTACTTAGCTTCAGTGGTTTTAGTTACTTGGCAACATATGAAATAAGATAGGAAACAGAATAAATGTGTTTAAAAGCCAACTAAGACATTTTTATGGACAAAGGGGTTAAATGATCCAGTTACAAAGCAGGGAGGTAAGGTTTAAATAAATCTAAAGGACATAATCTTACTGAACATGTGGCCTTTCCCTGACCAGCCATCCTTTTTGTTGTCATGACAAGTTTATTAATTGAAATAAAGAAAATAGTTTTACATGTGCTGGGTAGTATAGAAGCATGTAGAATGCTTGAGAGAGAAATATAGAAACTATGCCAACAATTTCCTCTTTAATTTTATGAGTTTTGTCTGCAGCAGTATGGAGGCAGTTTCCAGTGTGCATCAAAGTCTAAGGGTTTTGAGTGTGTCCCAGGCTATTTCTGTTTTTTCCCCCCCAGTGTTCTTTTACATGAAACTATTTCATCATTTTCAAAGGCAGCTGGCTGCTGATCCTTGACCAACAGTGGTATCTAAGCACAACCACCTTTAAAAATCATCTCCTAAATCTTCAAAAGGGTGCCAAAAGGTACATCTAAACAGCTTCTGCATGTACCAATTCTGGAAATGGGACATTGAAGTTGTCCTAAGGATACTCCCTTGCTACTACGCTCAAAATTTCTGTCTCCAGAATGGCTTAGACCAGTGGTGGGGAGCACCTTCAGGGTAGTTTTCCTACTTCACTTCCTAGCTAGGTGTTTCATGATCGGCTTAAATCATAGCAGTTTTGCTAAGCTGTAGCAGAGAACAGTAGCATTAAAAAGAGATACTATATTTTTAGCCCACAAGGGTTTCAAACATGACAACCAAGGGAGATGCTAGGCTTCTGCAATATAATATGCTAGTAAATAAATGCAGGTTTATCCTGCATTGCCTTTTGCATCCAATCCATACAAGATTGGCCTGTGATTTTTGACTGTTTGAAACAGATTGCCAATGAGGAAAATTTAACTAAGAGGAGTCAAGTTTCTGTTGTCCTGCCACTAGGGAACAGATAACTGGCAAAACCTGACTGCTGTTTTACTGATAAACAATCAAATAGACAAGGATAAAGCAGTGCAAGGCTCTTCAAAAGAGATGGGAAAAAAAGAGAGAGTGAGAGAAAGAACAAGGACAACACATTTTCAGAGGTACAGTTTCATTTAATTTATACAAAGTTTGGATTATTCAAATTTGGATATTCTAGCCCTGTCTCACTTTGAACCTGAAACAGAAAACCTGAGCTCCAATTTCCTGAATTCTTCAGGTAGTCTTCAATACATCTACATAATTTTTAACTGTATATAGCATATTTAACTATATATAGCATAAAAATGAGAGGTGAAAAACCAGTGATTTCTACCAAGAAATGTGTGATGAAGCTTGTAGTCTCTCCTCTCCTCTCCCAGGTGTTTTGACTTCTGGACTGTGATGATCACCTACTTCAAACATCAGTGGTGGTAATATGGCATTAGATTTCTAAAAATTTTAAATCAGCATAGTCCACTGACTTGGGTGATAGTGTACAGTTTAATACAAGTGGAGTGTGTCAGTCATTAGCACTAAGCCTGGCTACTAGTGTGAGGAAGTGTCCTGTACTTGACAAAGTGCATTTCATTTGGCAAATGAAATAGGCCTGTTTTAGGATATTTCTATAATTTCCAGTTTGGTACATCCCATAGTGTGACTTCATTAATATTTGAATAGTTTTATTTCATTGCAATTCAAATGAGATAACTTTCAGCATGTCATTTGTAATGAGCATCTTCTCTTTCACCTTATGCCCAAGTCTGCATTTGATCCTCAAGCATGATGGGATTTATGATAAAACATAAAAAAGGAAAACATTGAGATAGATCTAAAGACCCCTGAAGGGCAAATTTCTATATCAGTAGCAGAAAGCTATGGCAAGAATTGGTACAACTATGCTGAAAAACCTGACAGATATGACTCATGCTGTCTACCTTCTAACATATCTAAACCTAAATGTCAGGAACATTATATTATATGCACAGATGAAATGTTTTCAACCTACACGCAATAGAACTATATTCTCTAGCTTACAAAATTTATGCTAAAATGCTAACTTACTCTGTTACCCCCAAAACCTCTATTTACAAGCTAAGCATGATATTGTCTTTGTATTGTACAGTATGTGCGAGTTAAAATTACATATATATATGTACATATACATAAATAGAGAGAGGGAGAATATACACAATATGAGATATATAGGTTTTGCTGGTCTGAATTTGAAATGACTGCATTACTAACAGGTGGTGAAGCATTTTATTTGTGCTATTGAATTTGTGTTGGTTGTACTGTCTTCTCTTCCAGACCTTGGTTTTAAGGTCCTGCTCTGATTGACTAAAATGATGAAGAATCAATCACAAAATAAACACTATCAAAAATAGCTGTACTGCATCAGCAAAAACAGGACTCTCCTGGGAACTTCCTGTTCCCTTCTCATATCACATCCGCAAACTTAACCCAAACAGGAAGCTCATTGGCCAGATGTAATCTGTCATCTTCAACTGCGTCTTCATGAGACAAACTTTTTCTTGGTTCATGTTTTTGTACAGGTGCATCTTTGTACAGGTGGATGCGGGGGAACTATGTTTTAGTGTAAGGATTTATACTTTAAGAAACCTGTTTGGAATGATTTATCACTGTTATTTATAACAACGCATGGAACAATAACTAATAACCCAAATGATCTACATACGACAGGGGCCTAGACTGTTACTGTCTACTTTTTGCCTAATTTGCAGGAACATAATGTTACTAAATGAGCATGTCTACATGAAAAGTTTACTGTGCAGTTGACTAATCAGCTTACAGTAAACATATTAGCATCTCCATGTGCTGGAGATTAGTTTGGAATAAACTAATTTCTCTAGTAAGATGGAATAAACTAATTTACTAAACATTGTTGGTAATTACGAGTACTATCCTGCTGCAAAGTAAAAAACCACAGCAGTGCACATGTCAATGCTGCCCGGCTGGCTGGGGCATGAAGGTGTTTCAGTGCATGGGTTGCCTGCTGGCTAGTCCAACACCAAAGCACCCTCATACCCCAAAAAGTCCCTCTGCAGCACATTGAGCTGGGGAGAG